GTCAGGTGAGGTCAGCTGTCGTCAGGTGGCGTCAGGTGACGTCAGGTGACGTCAGGTGGCGTCAGGTGTCGGCAGCGGCCCAACCTGTCTGACCTGAGCTGACGACAGCTGATGAGGCAAAGAAACCTGTTTTATAAACAGAAGATTATCATCTGCAACCACAAGGAAAGGTTAGTTTCGAGTCACAACTTCCTGTTTCCTGCTGTAACACTGGAGGGATGGAATTGTACTGTTAAAGTACTGGAAATGTGTGTGTACTAGAAAAGTCAAAAAATACCAGGAAACATTTTTTCAAGAAGGTGAATTCCAGGGTTTTTCACCGACTGGAAGTTCTGGGAAGATTAAAGGAGGGAAATCTCAAAGGAGGAGGAGTCACCCTGAGGGGCAGTCACCCTGAGGGGCAGTCACCCCGGGGGGCAGTCACCCTGAGGGGCAGTCACTCTGGGGGGCAGTCACCCTGAGGGGCAGTCACCTGAGGGGCAGTCACCCTGAGGGGCAGTCACCCTGAGGGGCAGTCATCCTGAGGGGCAGTCACCTGAGGGGCAGTCACCCTGAGGGGCAGTCACCTGAGGGGCAGTCACCCTGAGGGGCAGTCACCCTGAGGGGCAGTCACCCTGAGGGGCAGTCACCTGAGGGGCAGTCATCCTGAGGGGCAGTCACCCTGGGGGGCAGTGATCCTGACATAAGCAGTTCCAGTTCTGGTCTCTGCTGTGGGACGTCTGGATGAGGTGCTTGGTTGCTGGTTCTATTCCTGATGGTGACAGTGTCGTACTGTTCCAGGTGCAGACAGTAGTGAATCTGTGTCTGTGTCTCTGCAGGTGTCGCTCTTCCTCCTTATGGACCTGCAGCGTTCCCACCAACCTTTCACCAGCACACAGGTCAGTCGGTACCAGAACAGTTCTCTCACCCTGAAACACACATGCTGACCTGGAGTACTGACCGACAGACCTGGAGTACTGACTGACAGACTTGGAGTACTGACTAACAGACCGGGAGTACTGACTAACAGACCTGGAGTACTGACTCACAGACTTGGAGTACTGACTAACAGACCTGGAGTACTGACTCACAGACTTGGAGTACTGACTAACAGACATGGAGTACTGACTGACAGACTTGGAGTACTGACTCACGGGCTTGGAGTACTGACTAACAGACATGGAGTACTGACTGACAGACTTGGAGTACTGCCTGACAGCCTTGGAGTACTGACTAACAGACTTGGAGTACTGACCGACAGACTTGGAGTACTGACCGACAGACTTGGAGTACTGACCGACAGACTTGGAGTACTGACTAAAAGACTTGGAGGACTGACTAACAGACTTGGAGTACTGACTAACAGACTTGGAGTACTGACCGACAGACTTGGAGTACTGACTCACGGGCTTGGAGTACTGACTAACAGACCTGGAGTACTGACTCACAGACTTGGAGTACTGACTAACAGACATGGAGTACTGACTGACAGACTTGGAGTACTGACTCACGGGCTTGGAGTACTGACTAACAGACATGGAGTACTGACTGACAGACTTGGAGTACTGACTAACAGACTTGGAGTACTCTGTAACTCAGGTCTCTCGATGACGGCAGTCCCCGGCTCGTTGGTTTCCCCTCCGCGCATGTCCCTCCAGATGGCGCCACCTGCTGTGCACTCGGTGCTGCTGGTGTCCAACTTGAACCCAGAGGTCAGACGTCACTCAGTTACTCAGTTACTCAGTTACTCAGTTACTCAGCAGCTGACCAATCAGACTCTCTCGTGGGTTTGTTTCCTCCACAGAGCGTCACTCCACACTGCCTCTTCATCCTGTTTGGTGAGAAAAGGTTTTCGGTTCAGATGATAACGAAGGAAAATGTGGTTGATGCTGTGTGATGACATCACTCTGTGGTCTGCTGGCTCTTTTTTTCCAGGTGTCTACGGAGACGTTCAGAGAGTGAAGATCCTCTTCAACAAGAAGGAAAACGCTCTGGTTCAGATGACTGACGCCACGCAGGCTCAGCTAGGTCCTCCTCATTTGGTTTTTTCTTTTGTTTTTGTTTTTTTAGGGATGTCCGATAGTAACTTTTTGCTAATATCCGATACGCCGATATTGTCAATACACTTCATTTACGATTCCGATATCAACCGATAACAACATAGTGGGGCAGTGGTGCCCTGGTGGTCAAGGAAGTTAAGTATCACCCGCTCACTAAGGTGATGGGTTAAAGTATTTCTCACATATTACAAATACATGATATTTATTTATTTAATAAATAAAAGTTAAATAAATAATATTTGTTTATTTATTTGCGTTTCTGGCACCAGCGTTCTCCATACAACCCCCTGATTATTAAGATAGATTAATAAAATGAGCTGCAATGCTGCCATCTAGTGACTTTCACTTTCACATACAGCAGTTTTTCCCTAAAACTATTTTCAGGGCACACATCAATTGGCGAAACGCAGGCATTGCGTTATCAGGTTTTCGGAGGATATTACATGATTATGCTAATATCGGTCCGATAATATTATCAGACATTCCTATTTTTGTTTTTTGTTTTTTTCGTGTTCCAAAAAGGTTTAATCATCATTGACTTTTATGACAGCCATGAGTCACCTGAATGGCCAGCGTCTCTACGGCAACGTGATCCGAGTGACGCTGTCCAAACACCCGGTGGTGCAGCTGCCTCGTGTCAGTGCTGGACAGGAAGAGCAGTCGCTGACCCGGGACTTCTCAGGCTCCGCCCTACACCGCTTCAAAAAACCTGGATCCAAAAACTTTAACAACATTTTCCCGCCATCGGCGACGCTGCATCTCTCCAACATCCCGTACGTACAGCGTCGGTCACCGTTGGGTAAACACTGGTGTGAGGACTGTTTGTGACTTGATGTTTCCTTGTCTCCTAGCTCCTCTGTGAGTGAGGATGCACTGAAGGATCTGTTTTCCTCCAGTGGATTCAACGTCAAAGCCTTCAAGTTTTTCCAGTAAGTCGCAGTAAAGTTTAAACTCCGCCTCCACTGTAGACTGTGTGTAAAGATACAAAACCAATAACAATTCTTACAGATATTACATGATTATGCTAATATCGGTCCGATAATATTATCAGACATTCCTATTTTTGTTTTTTGTTTTTTTTTCGTGTTCCAAAAAGGTTTAATCATCATTGACTTTTATGACAGCCATGAGTCACCTGAATGGCCAGCGTCTCTACGGCAACGTGATCCGAGTGACGCTGTCCAAACACCCGGTGGTGCAGCTGCCTCGTGTCAGTGCTGGACAGGAAGAGCAGTCGCTGACCCGGGACTTCTCAGGCTCCGCCCTACACCGCTTCAAAAAACCTGGATCCAAAAACTTTAACAACATTTTCCCGCCATCGGCGACGCTGCATCTCTCCAACATCCCGTACGTACAGCGTCGGTCACCGTTGGGTAAACACTGGTGTGAGGACTGTTTGTGACTTGATGTTTCCTTGTCTCCTAGCTCCTCTGTGAGTGAGGATGCACTGAAGGATCTGTTTTCCTCCAGTGGATTCAACGTCAAAGCCTTCAAGTTTTTCCAGTAAGTCGCAGTAAAGTTTAAACTCCGCCTCCACTGTAGACTGTGTGTAAAGATATATAAAAATACTGGACGTCACCTCCGCGTCCTGAAGCCACAGATCAAATCGTTTTAGTAGCTAAAAACATCGTAAAAACAAACGGCACATTATTGATTGAATACTAGTGACTGACGGGTGGAAATAAGAGCTCCACCTCAGGACACACGTCTGAGACAGCGGCTAAATGACGACCACAACCGTGAACCAAAACTACGAAAACTAGTCGTGCAGGATAGAATTCTGCTCCCGATCGTTTATCGACCAATCACGTGTTATTTTGTACCTGCTGAGTGAGGCTGTCTTCACAGAGTTGTCTGTGAACTGAGTGAAAAGCCTCATGCCTCCTTCTGCTCCCGCTGTCACGGCCGCAGAGCCGTTAGCACGTGAGCTAATAAGCGCTAACCAGAGCTAACACATGTTTTCTCTTTTCTGGATGGTTTTTTTTTTCATCATGGGAAGAAAAACACTGCTTATGTGACTGTAGGTCACATCAACGTCGACTAGTTATAACAAAACAAAACAAATTCAATGAGTCATTTAACAGGTTAGCGTACAGCAGCAGCTAGCACAAATGCTACAAACAGGACCTGAGATGTGGATTTTATGATGAATTTTGTACAAAAGAAATACAAAGACGGTGATTTTTAACCTGGTCAGACCAACAGCTGCTTCACCTCAGGTCAACAAAAGGTCATGTAAAGGTCATTATCTCTGGTTCCGTACCATCGTCTAGACCAGAGTTAGCAGGACGTTACCTGTTATCAGAACCAATTAAATTTGTCCCTAGATAAAAGATTCAGGGAATACGCACCTGGACCAACCTGCAAACAGCCNTCTTTTAGTTCCTCCCTACATTTGTCTCAGCTCTAGGTGTAACGGTGACGTCTGTTTCTGTAGATGTTTCTCAGTGAAAGTAAGTCATGTCCCTAATCATGTGACTTCCTCTGATGTCAAAGGAAAGACAGGAAGATGGCGCTGATGCAGCTAGCATCAGTAGAGGAGGCCATCGAGGCGCTGATCACTCTGCACGACCACTTGCTGGACCACAACCAACACCTGCGCGTGTCCTTCTCCAAGTCTACCATTTGACCTTTGACACCAACTCTCATTAGCTGTTAGCCTTTTGATACCATGTTAGTTAGCAGTTAGCCTGTAGCTACCTACGGGGTGAGTTGCTGGCCACCGGACGATTTGTTGTTGGGAACGGTGCTAAACTACGTGCAAGTTTTGAGCCGATGTCTTTGGTGTTTATCTGCAAACAGATGACCCCCTGTAGCTACTAGCATAAATGCTAACTAGTATGCAAACTAAAGGTTAAAGGCAACAGCAGTGCTGAACTTCTCTGTGACCGTGTGATGTCACATCTGCGACATCCAACCTTGTTCTCTGACCTTTGGAGCTGATAGGCTGTCAGATTTACGAGCACCCTGATTGGCCCGTAGTCAGAACACATGGACAAGCGGCTAAGTTTCCGACACGCCTAATGATGTGCCTATAAAACACTATGACATCACGCTGACTGCTGATGTTACCTGATTGGTGGTCATAATGGTTACAGAGCACATTCCTGCGCAAACTGAGCAGCAATGCATTGTGGGTAGTGGTGTTGATGTGGTGCAGGAAAAAAAAATCAGGAAGTTTTTTTTGTTTGTTTGTTTTTAAATGGTTGAAGAGACAACTTCAAAGTTAAAGTCCCCCCCAAAAAAAGTTTGATTTGTTCATTTATGTTGGTTAAAAATGTTGTAGAAAAGAAAGTTATTTATTTAGCTTCATTTTCACTGTTGATTTCTTCTTTTTTTCATTGAAAATCGTTAACGGTTTCATTTTTCTCCGTCGCCTTCAGCATCGCTCGCTCCACGTGTGAAGACGATTGTTTTGTTGTTTGCTGCGACCTCAGAACTTCTTCTGTGCCTTATTTCTCTGGACTATTCTGCTGGGTTTACCTTTAGCTTAGAGTGTTGACTACACCTAGACTTAGTTTTTTGTTTCCTAGAATTTAGTTACTTTTTTTTTTTTTTTAATTGTTAGAAACCATATTTGTGGGGTTTTTTAATCATGAATGTTTGTAAAGGTAACGCTTTGATGTACCGCCCACCAGTCTTACCTGGCTGTGTGTTTATATATAAATATATACATACATATATATATACAGTATATTAATGTGTGTGTGTGTGTGTGTGTATACAGTGTAATGTGTGAGTATGTCATCCTGAGCTGTGATTGGTCGATTCTAAAATATTCTGCCCTTATTTTGTTTTTGTTTTTTTTTCTATTAAAAACTTAAGTTAACTCAAAATTCACTTTTTACTTTTTATATCTGGTCTTCGCCGCTGTCCAAACAGGAAATAAGCCAGAACAAAACAGGAAGCTGCCGACGCCCACTTTGCCTTCTGACCTCTAACCTTTTTTTCAGAAGAGATGTGCGTTTAGGGTTGAATTTGTCTCATATTATTTACATTTTTTTAATGTACATTCAATGTTGCCTGGACATTTAAAGGTACAGTTCCACCGTTTGTCATCCTTGGCTAAAAGTGAGGGGCGGGGTCAAACCAAGCCAAAGTCTGTGTGCCTTCTAATTTTCACATGATGACATCACAGTGACACTTCCTGCGGCTTTCCAAACCTGCGTGTGTCATTTTTGTTTTAACCTTCAATGTCGTGTTACTGAAGTTGATGCAGAGAAAGGAGTGTGACATCACATCCTCCTCAGTGGGATTTCACTGACACGCCCACATGTCAGTGAAAGACCAGAAAGTTGTTAAACACAGGGATTTCAACAACCACACGTGACCTGTCGGTCTGTGATTTGGATCAGAATTTATCCACAAACACGTGACCTGTCGGTCTGTGATTTGGATCAGAATGTATCCACTTCTGGTACGTGGACCAGATGTGCGGGCCATACAAGACATGCAAAGTGTAATTAAGGTGTGGCCCGTATTCTAGACACAAGAAGACGCCCACTAGAGGCCAATAATCTTTTGTCCAACTTTTTAAGTGGCCAAAAATGAAGATTGTTTTCAAAGCCCAATAACGGGCCAATCCGGCCCGTTAGCAGTTTATCTGGTCCACATTTAGGATCCGGCCCAGTCACCTGATCTTAAATAAACATTTTCTTTTAACCCACATTTTGTTAGCTTAATCCTAAATGTGGACCAGCCTAGTTTTAGGTTGGAGTCCCATGTGGTCCACATTCCGGGTACCAAATGTGCCCACGTCTCATTGCTGTTTGTGCTGATGTGTACCAAATCTATAAGAACGGTCACGAGGATGTGGAATGTAGACAGAACTCTTTTTTTTTTCAGTTTCTAAAATAATCGCTGAGACTCTGGACTCAGAGACTCTGGTGTTTTTGGGAAGTGAAGACAAAATAAATAACCAGGACTGTATGTTGGCAGTGTATTATGCCGATACGTCCCATTCCTTTTGTTTGCATTTCTCATCCTCTGTGACAGAAGTACTGTACGTTGACATTGTTGCATGTGAGAAGGAAACATTTGTGGGCGTGGTTTAAATACAACACTTTCAAATGAAAAAGAAAAGAAACTTTTTTAAAAAATTGATTTCTGTTGTTTTAAAGCTTTTACTTTGAAATTCTCTTTACTTTTAACTTGTTTTACTGATGAATGTAAAATAGTTGTGGTGCATTGTGGGAGACAGTGGATTACTATTGTTATTATATTAAAATATTTTTTAATAATGACTATGTGCATGGGGGGGGGCGCAGGGCTGGGGTCGGTGTTTGTTTTTTATTTATTCTGAAAATGACAGGAAGTTGTAGCATGAACCACTGAATAAATAAAACCTGCCCTAAAATCCTGCCCAAGAATTGGTCCCGCCTTCTTTTTGTGATGTCAGCGAAACACAAACAGGATTCTGTCAACATCCCCTTCAACCCTGGTTCTCTCACCTTTGTCTCCCCCAGGAGGCGCCCCCGTTCATCTAACCTAAATGACTGGACAGTTTACGTTGACTTTGAAATGTGCTAATTCTGTAGCACTTTTTTAGCATTTAATCCCGAGCGTCCTGTTTTTGTCTCACAAAGAAAACCAAACCTTTAAAACAATAAAACTTTATTTGTTTCTATTTTTTGACATGAGTCATAACCTCCTGTTGTGATTTTAAAAAATAACAATAATAAACAAACATACAAATAAAGACTTCTGCTGATCCTATTGGACGACAGCGTCAGGTGTTCGTCCGACACTCGGATGGCGTCATCAACCAATCCACCTGATGCACAGCTAAACGCTAACAGCAAAGACAATACAGTGTTCTGACTGAAATGTGGCGACCGCGAAATGTCTGTTTTCTCATTGGCTGGTTTTGTTTGTGGTTTTTTTTTTTTTTTCTTTGAACACAACAAAGACAAAGCGTCTTTATTTACAAGCACAACTTTGATCACATGATCACGCAACGTCACTTTTCTACTGCATCGCAGTAAAGAAGTAACTCGGCTGAGGATGACGTCACAGTCCATGCCGTCTCCTCATTGGCCGATGGCTTTCACATTTGTTTGTTATTCTTTATATCGCTAACAGCTGCAGCACGAATCCCTGTTGTCGTTGTTTTTTCACGCGGTTTGCAAAATACGCCGACACGGGTTTTTCATTTGCGAAACTTACTAATGACATGTTTTTATTATTTGGAAAAAAAAATAAATCATAGGAAATACTTTCGCAGAATTTCTCCACCACGGAATGGGTTTGGTTGAAATAGTTCAAAGTTAAGGCTGACGAACGGGACGCGAACATCAAGCTGATGACGCTGAAAACGTTCCTCGAAAACGTCCACGTTGCGTAAACTGGAAGAGGAACCGGATCGCGACTGATTGTGTGATGAGATACGAATGAACTGAAGCTGCGTCTGTGACCGTCTGTGACCGTCTGTGACCCCCACCCCCCGCTCCTGTGAGTTGACTGAGGATGAAACAGTTCAACCTCAATTTCGTTATCAGTCTTTCAGTTTCTTTTTTTTGCCATTTCTTTCTTAAATTACTGTAAAAAAAAAAAAAAGAAATCAGCCAATGAGCATGAAGCATTTGACCTCGTCCTCCTCTCGTTTGTATTTTTCTTTAAATATTTCTCGTCTGATCAAACGTCAGACTGTTCAGTGCGAAGTGACTCCTCCCATTTCTTTTTCTTTTTCTTACTCTACCCTCTGGTTCTCGCATCGTTTAATTTAGCACCAAAAGAACATAAATAATTAAAAATTCACACTCGCGTACTTTCACACACACACAATCACGCTAGTTAAAAAAAAAAAATCAGTCTCTTGAACTCATTATCTCATCCTTTGAGGACAAAGATGATGACGATGGTACGAGCCTGTTGCCGTGGCAACTACACGTCGAGGATCTCCTCGGCGGTGCCGCCACAGCGCAGCCGGTACCGACCAGTTCTCCAGCTGATGGTGGGGTCCCACAGGGCTGACAGGAAGATCTGCACCGCCATGGACTCCCTGATGAACCACGCCACGGCAAAGTCCAGCTTGGAGAAGCACAGAGGCCCGCCCTACAAGATGATGTCATCCATCAGTCGCTAGTTAGCAGAGTTAGCATTTGTTTTCACTGACGGTACAACTGTAGTTGGAGGTCGGGGTCATGACCCCACACTGTTACTCAGTCATCACAGTTTTTGTTCGATCATAAAAACTCGACTCGATACAAACTAATGTTACATCTCAGTATTTTAAACGCGTTTCTGTGTCTGCGATCCTCGGTGACCAGATGGGTTTGACCGCGGCTTTGGGCTTTGTGATGTGTAAAACAGCGCCCCCTCTAAATCCTATGTAATGAATGAGTGTTGAGAACCTGGTACTGCGCTCTGTTGTCTGTGGGGACAACAAAGAGCTAGTACTAGTACTAATACTAGTACTAATACTAGTACTAGTACTAGTGTTAGTACTAGTACTAACACTAGTACTTTAACAAGTCAGATGAATACAATACTCCTGGTATAATATGACACGTGAACATGACGTTTCCCATCGTGACTCATTTTTTCATTATCATAATTCAAAGATTTAAGTTAATCAGTTAATTTTTTTCTATTATTTGTCAAACTCCAAACAAAAATGGAGAAAAACAAATTCCAAAACATTTTTCCAAAACAAATATAAACATGAAACGCAGCAGGTTTTACCTGAACTCCAGTCAGCTGGACGTAGTCGGCTAGAAACCAGGCCAGACAGTGACACATGAAGAAGACCATCATGTCCCACCTGATCAAACACACACACACACACACACACAGTTTAATTATTAGTAACCCATGATGTTGATCTCATTTCTATTCATGGTAAACAGCCAAACGGCGTTAATATTTGCTCTTCCCTGATTGGCTCACCTAAATGTGTAATGAGCAGCCCAGCCAATAATAAGGCTCGCCAGGAAGCACTCAGAGACGGGCTCCAGCACGGTCCCCGGGAGCATGTTTATCCTCAACTTCGTCCACCTGGAAACAAACAGACGTTATTGACACATCCCAGGAGGGGAGGGGGGGGGCAAACACGGCCCCAGGACTACATCGAGGACAGCCAATCAAACGTAGAGCACCTGATCATGCGTGACTGAAACTGGCCAATGGAGTATGAGCCCGAATTCTGTAGCGCCACCTGTGTTGCCAAGGAGAACTTCCAGCCTCTGGAGTGGAGAAAAATAACAGCATTATTAGCCCGTCTGCCTCAAGAGTGAAGCTATAAGTCCGTGCGCTAACGCTAACATGCTAACCTGTCGGCTATGGCTTTAGCCATAAAGTAATCCTCTGCAATGTACTGGGCAAAGGCGACCAGTCCGCCGGCCTGGTCCAGGACATCCTTCCTCATCAGACACGACATCCCGGTCACACATTTGATCCCGGTCACGTTAGCCGAAATGTACGACCGCGGGTGGGACGTCCCAAAATACACCTGGAGACAGGAGTGACATATTTAATGACATCATCACCAAATAAAAACAAAAAAAACAAACATAAATGCAGAGATCAAACGCAGTCGTAGGTCATACAGGAGTTGTTGTAGCCTAACATTAGCATGTTAGCCTAACCTGCTCTAGCGTGGCAGCAAAGCCTTGGCGATCAGCAACATAGGGCAGCCCGTGGACTAGTCCCACCTTCTCTGTCATCTGATTGGTCAGGTCTGTCAGGGTATCAGGTTTCACTGCCAATTACAAACACAGAGTGAGTGTTTGAAAAAAAACAAGAACAAAAAGAATGAAAGTTAGCGCTGGTTTAGCAGCGGCGATGCTAACCTCTGATTCCGCTGTCACAGATCCACACCAGGCCGTACTTGGCTCCTTCGTATCCAGGCATCAGATTGTTGATCTTGGGATTGATGCCCACTTTTTTCCCCCCTAATGAGCAGAGGAGCTAATGTTAGCTGCTAACACAAACAACAAAAACGCCAAAAAAAAAAAACCATCCACGCTGCCCATTTCCTCACCGATAAAAAGACGAGCGTCAACGTTTGGATATTTTCCCAGCAGCTTCTTACAGACGTCTACGGCGGGGTCATCGTGATCCTGGACGCAGAGCAGGATCTCGTACTGTAACACACACACACACACACACAGAGACGGCTGTCAGAGCGGAGCAGGGATTAGAACCGACAACCTGCTGATACATCTCTGGTTGGACCCAGACTGGAACGACAGAAAGGCTCCGACGAACATCGTCTTATTTTGTCCGTTTTATTAGGAACAGCCCCACAGGGGGCGCATGACTCCATGTGGTGCTGCGCTCTGGTTCAGGTCCCCGTCACGAACCAGGACGCTCTGTCCTCACAGCTGCTTTGGTTTGCAAATCTACACGAAGCACTGGTG